GGATGCATGTAAAATACCAGGACCCTGAACCAGAAGCAGTGGATTATATAATATTATTTACACGCGCCACTGCTGAAAGAAAAACCTAATTTCCTCTCTCTGGTCACTGAGGGTCCACACCAATTTCTCAGCACAAATAAACTTAATTCAGCTCCTTGTTTTCTCAGTAAACTCTCAGTGCAGCCTCACACAGACACACAAACATGTTTCTGCCATTTGTGACGAGTCACCGTCTGAGTTGTGTCACTGACTTGTCATTTTGCGGCTGCTGAGCGAACAGTGTGGTCTTTGTGCGCTCAGGACAAAGCTGGCGCTGTGAGTCAGCCGGAGGACCTTGACCAAGGACACCTGAGCACCAAAACACCTCCCTGCTACCTTTTCATCGGCGCTGAGCTCATCCTCAGACGGAGGGAGATGCTGCTATCAGACACGCTGCTGTTTATTTTGGGATTTTGGTTGGAGGTGTTGCCTGAAGTGAAACCTCGGTGCCACTTTCCCTGTAGTGAAGCTGTTTGTCCAGACTGTTGACACAGCTGCAGCCAGAAAATACTTCTTCATTCAGGCTCTGCTGCTGAATCAGAGCAGCATTAGAGAGTCCAGATAACACAAACGCTACACAACAAGCCTGGAGCGGGACAAACCTGTGTTTTGTCTCCTGCTGGAGGTCAGAAAGTCCACAAACATCTACTACTGATGCAGTTCTGAAATTCTTATCTCTGTTTGGGTTACAGGCCTGAGAAATGTTTCCCACACACACAAGGACAGTGCAGGGCAGTCATTGTGTGTCTCTTTGTGCTCATTTTGTTTATTTTTGTGGTCATTTTATGTCAGTTTGTTGTTGTTTTGTTAGTCTTTGAGGTAATTTTGGGTTTATTTTGTGTCTCTGGTTGTTTGTTGTGATTTAAAGTCTCTTTGTCATCATTCTGGGCCTTAAATTGGCTTTTGAGTTTTTCTTTGTCAACATTTTGAGTCCATTTTGTCGCTGATTTATTTCTCTTGATTAAATTGTGTCGCTTTTTGATCATTTTGTGTCTCTTTGCAGCCACTTTCTATGTTTTTGTTGTTCTTTTTGTGTCTCTTTGTGATAATTTTGTGGTCATTTTAGGTCTCTTTATAGCTGTTTCGTGACTTTTGCTGACATTTTGTGTTTATTTGTAGTTGTTTTAAATATCTGGGATCATTTGGCGTTTCTCTTGTGATTTTGTGTCTGGTTATTTTGAGACTCTTTGTGATCATTTTACATGTCTGGGGTAATATTGTGCCTCTTTGTCATCATTTGGAGCCTCTTTGTGGTCTTTATCTGACTTTTACTCATGCATTTCTGTAATTTTTGTCTTTGTTTGGGTTGCATGTCTGTAAAATCCTTTTAGAGTGACGGCGCAGTTCTGACAAATTTGCAACAAGTTGTTAGAAATGCTGTCAGGACTTCGTAGCTTTGAGCTGAATTATCAGCAATGACAGAAATCCTTCTACGTTGATCAGAGCTGTGTGTGTTTTCATATTTAAAAAATCTCAGAAGTCACCCTCATCTTGCTGGTAATGTTTAAAAATATCAACATATAGCAAAACCCTCCTACTCGTCTGCAAAGAAAAACCATGCTGAGCTCATCTTTGCAGCTCCTCTGGGAGTTCCCATTAAGCTCGTGGGAGTCCTCGGACTGAACTGTGGGTCATGTGAAAGTTTTCCGAAATATCTCACTAAATCAAAAATAGTCTCTGAGCCTTGAGCCTCTTTTCTTTAAGTATTTGTCATGTGCCCGACTTAATCTATGGTTCCCTCCATCTGCAGCCTCGGGGCCTCTGAGAAAACGCCTGCTGGAGCCAAAGCAGGGCTCCAAGATTTCAGAGGGAAAAGGTGTTGAGAGAAACCTAATCCAGGAGTCGTGGTGGGGGCGGAGGCGGTGAGGAAAGTCTGGTGGCGCTCTGCAGAAAAAGGACCCTCGGCCTCCTCACCGCTCACATGCCTGACATACTTCAGAGATTCTCGCAAGCTGATACCAAACAGATCGCCTTAACGGAGATCTGCGTCACCGTAAACAAACACAACTTTTCTCTGATACAAGAACAACATGTATTTAAAATATATTCATTCTTGTCTGAAGACTCAGTCTGTTGTGACAGTGGCAAAGTTCTGAGTACATCTCATTTTCTTTCTTTGACTTGATATTGAGTTTTATTGTTTCTGTGTGCCTTTAAGTGGTCATTTTGTGTCTCTCTGTAATTGTTTGATTGTTGCTTTGGGGGTTTTTTTGTGTCTCTTTGTGGTTTCTTTGTGAGTACTTTGAGTCTTTGTGGTAATTTTGTGTCTCTTTGTGGTCACATTGTGTCCATTTTTTGGTTGATTTGTGTTTGTTTATGGTCCTTCTGTGTCTTGTGTCTTTTTTGTGTCTCCGGTTTGTTGTCACTGGCAATTTATAGTCATTTTGTGTCTCGCTGTAGTCATTTTGTGTTTTTTTTTGGTCGTAATTTTGAATCTTTGTAGTCATTTTGTGTCACTTTGTGGTCATTTTGTATCTCTGTGGTCAAGTTTGTCTGTGGTCAATTTCTGTCTCTGTGATAATGATACACATTGCATTTTTAGTCCATTATTTTGAGTCTTTGTGAAAATTTTGTGTCTATTTTTGCTTTTATGTGTCGATTAGTAGTCATTGTGAGTCTCTTTGTGATCATTTTGTGTCTCTTTGTGGCCAATACATGTCTCTTTAAGGTCATGTTTAATTTCTGTCTTCATTTTCTTTGTCTTTGTGGTCACTTCGCATCTCTTCATCATCATTTTGAGTCTTTTTGTAGCTGCTTTGTGTTTCGTTGTAGGCTTTTGACTAAACCTTACAAAGGTTCTGTGCAATGATCACTATATTTATATTAACAGATCAAGTGTGCAATGTGAAGGTGATCTGTTTATCTACATGATGATGTCTTTCTGCTAATATAATAAAACAGATTTGTTCTTTTTGCTTTTATGTTGAAACCTGAGACACACCTATGTAAAACACACCTGTGTGGGATGACCTCTCATGAAAACCATCGAGTCACTGTGATAAGACGGAATCATTCAGGCTTTCAAACACAATGTCTGTGTGTGCAGCTACTCTTTAAAGTCTAATGGTTACTGTGCAGCAACTGTTTGCTCTTCTTTCAGCCTTTCAAAGGCGGGTTTTCTTTATGTGTGTGAATAAAGCTCTGGGTTTCTGTGGAGCGTGACTTCTGCTCAGGGAGCGCCTCTCCTCGGGATAAAGTCACTTTGTCACTGTGGACCTCTGGGGAGATAACACGCCCCACCACACACCTGGTATCTCAAGCCAGGCCCTGCAGCTGCTCTGTTTCCACGCCACGTTACCATGGACGTGGACTGCAAACACCGGGGTCCGAGGGGACTCGCACTACAAACACACATCTCCCCACGCACCAGTGAACAGGTCAAATACTGAAGAAAGTGGCAGGCGTCATTAAAGCACAGCCATCAGAAGAAGGTTCACACATGAGCACAAAGGAACCGTGTCACCGACTAAATCTGCTTTTCTGTTGGTGTAAAGCGCTTTCATTTAAATCTGGGTCAGTGAAAGTACCTTCAGGAGAAACATTTTGGTGCAGTTTCTTCTTACATTATGTAACTTAAATATGAGCTGCAGTACGACGGTGTAAGTTTCTGTATTAGAGGTGGGACCAAGCAAGTCCCAAGTTCTGGGTGTGAATTTACAACAAGTCCAATAAAAGAGCCATTATGCACCGAAAATCACATTTACTTCCATTGAAGTTGTAAATGTTAGTCAAATGTTTTGCATGTTGCTGAATCATGATGATCCTGTTAAAGGGCTGTAATAACTTAACTTGCTGTACATCTGCTCATCAGATTTAAATTCTTTAATGTCTGTTTTGTTGTCATTTGTCATTTTGATATTGTTTTGGTCATTTTGTGTCTCTGTGGTCATTTTGTGGGTCTTTGTGGTCATTTTGTATGTCTCTGTGGTCATGTTGGTTCACTTTGCAGTCAGTTTGAGTCCCTTTGTGATCCTTTTGTGTGTCTTTGTGGTAGTTTTGTATCCATATGTGCTCATTTAGTATCTCTCTCTGCTCATTTTGTGTCTTTTTGTGGTCCGTTTGTGCTTTTTTGTGGTTATGAATGTGGGTATGAATCTTTTAAGTCCTTTTGTATGTCTTTGTGGCTGTTTTATTTCTCTTTGTCGTCATTTTGAGTTTATGGTTGTGTTGCCTTTTTGTGGTCATTCTTGTCATTTTGTGGCCACTTTGTGTCTGTCTGTGGCCATGTTGGGTAGCTTTGTGCTCATATTGACTCTCTTTATGATCGATCTGTGCCACTTTGTGCTGATTTTTTGCCCCTTTTTGGTTGTTTTGGATGCTTTACTTCCTTGTAAGTCTTTTGTTGTCATTCTGATCTACCTACCAGCACACAAGCACAAAACGTAGTGAATGACAAACAACATTAAATAGAAAATCTCCTCCCTGCCATTTAACTGTTAATCCTGAGAAAGAAAAGGAAAGATAATTGTGAGGATAAAGCACACAATGTGTCTAAAGAAAATTGCCAACACAGAGCAGACAGTTAGGCCCTAATCAGAGCGTTGATCTGTGCCGCTGAATAGAAATTGTTTGCTCGGCCTCAACAACTGATGACCTGGTCCTGACTAGGCACAAGCAGTCTGTTTGGAAAGTTCAGAGCAATTAGCTGGGCCTGTTAAGTGGTGCATGGCAATAATAGAAAATAAACACATTAGAGTGGCGTCTTCTGAATAATAACAAAAAAAATACAGTATATTACGTGTCAGAGTACTTATTTTGCAGAAAAATGACCCCTGTGAGTGATTTATTATTATATATGACATTATAATAGTGTTAGTGCTGAGTCTTTGTCACACATGTAGATTTTATTGTTGCAGTAACTCGAAAAATAGTCAGTATTTACTGTTTTTACTTAAATAAATGCAATTTATATGCAGTCTTGTTCCATTATTGAGCATAAATAATATTAAATACACTATTATTGAACACTGTGTGTTGCAATATTCAAAATGACACTCGTGTTTTTGACCCTATAATGCAGATATTTAATATGTGTCATTAAAATTATGTTTCTTTTGCATCTTTACATCAGAAATACATGTAAAATGCTGACATTTGCTGACCAGAGGTGGGAAGTGCAGGTCTGTGTTATAGCCCGCCCACAAGCTATTCTAGGCTTTCTATTGGCTCAAAGTTTGCACCGCTCCTATTTGATTGGTTGTATTATCTTCTCTCGGCCAATCAATGTGTTTGTTTACGACCAACGCACAAGCGTCTATGCGGAAGATATGAAGTGACGCAACTAGCTAGCAAGACCGCTAGAACGGAGGATATTGAGACTCCAGGAGGCAACAGCTTCATTTAAACTTTAGTTTTCAGAAAATGAACCATACGGACACATAACGAAGCGTCCTGTTCGCTCCGACGATGCTGTGTTTGGGTGTTAATGCCGTGCGGTCGTCGGCGTCTTTACAGAAGGTTGGTGGCTAAGCTAACGGTCGCGAAGCTACCTAGCTTGACCTAACCTTTGGTTTTCACCCCTGTTTATTATTAGTTACAGTAATACCTTCTAATATCTATATTACTGTAATAGGGAGATGTGTGTCAACCCCAAGAGCAACGCTACACAGACGTACTTTAAACCGACATGTTCTCAGATATACTTGAAATGGACTCTTCCTAACAGGTGCAGGAGAGAGAGAGGAAGCTTACCGAGACATTTACTGAAACCTACAGGCAAGACAGTCACAATTACGTTAAATAATTAAAAACTTCTACACTTTGAAAATACGACAGAAAAGATAGGTTCTGTCTAATTCAACACTCCACAATGTAGTTGAGAAGTTACCAAGGTTTGTTTAGGGTGTTTCCTGAAAGCAGGGAAACAATTAACGATTGTTTTCATTGTTGATTAAACTGTCAATTATTTTCTCGATTACTAAGTTAGTTGGTCGGGCTTTAAAATGTCAGAAAATCGAAGAATGTTCATATTTAAGAAGCTGCAATCTGAGAATTTTGACTTTTTTTTCTTTAAAGTTTACACAAACTGATGAATCCATTATAAAAATAGTTGCAAATGAATTTAATAGTTGACAACTAATTGATGAATTGTTGCAGCTCTGCTTAACAATAAACATATAAATCATAATTTACCCACATTACTCAAATGAAGATGACGATGTTCAGATTGGGAGTAATCGTCAGGTTTAAAGTTAAGACATTCCCACGGGGATTTAAAGAACATTGTCAACATCTCAGTTGTAATAATTATCTCAAGTCAGGCATAAACTGGGGTTAGGAGTGTGTTACCTATTCAGCACAGGATAGTTTTATTGTGTAGTGACCTGTATATATGCAAGTCATCTATCATAGTGTGCATTTTAGTCGCAGCTCGAGCTGAATGATTTTGACAAAAACATTGCAATATTTCCTTTTTTTCCAGATTGTTGAGCATTTCTATGCTGTTCTTTGGTGCTTCACAGACTACACAACTTCACAAATACAATACAGATCAATAGACTCTAATTATGACTAAGCACAGTGTTGTTCTGTTGTGTTTCAGCTGTGTGTCCTCTCCCTGTTACACTCGAGACTTTATCAGTTCTGTCGTTGTCCTCGGCAGTCATGGAAGAGTTGCCTTCACAGTGGGATCATTCGCCACTTAACAACTGGACCAGATTCACCTCCTCGAACACTGCCTGACTCCTCTGAGTGTGCCGACACACAACAAAGCCACAGTTCGTCTGATTGGTCCCCTGATCAGGGTCCTCCGCCTGCTCCAACCCACTGCTGTATGAGCGGCTGCCACAACTGTGTCTGGATCGAACACGCTGAGCAGCTGCTGGCGTATTATCACGATGGCGGCGACCGAGCGCTTGCCGCTATCGAGGAGAACGTCCTCGACGAGAACCTCAAAACCTACCTAAAGATGGAGATCAGACTCTTAAAAAAGACATGATGCACCACTGCCTCAACTGCACTGCTGACAGGAGTCACTGTTATGAGCATTGTTATGTTAGAACCACAAACCGAAGTCCTGACCGACTGTAAGCACTTAAAGCAAGACTGTTGTTCCTCCAGAGTCCCTCCCTCCTTCTTTGAGTCACAAAGCCTCAGAAAACTGACACAGAAGCTACCAACTAACAATCTATTACTGTAGCTTTGTCCATCATTTCTGTCAGTTACAATAATACTGCACCTCCATGAAGTCATTGATCAAATTTGTGACGTTCTTACAAAGTCCAGCAGATCATTTCTCCGGTGATTATAATTGATAGGAACAATGCCAAAAACTGCAGAACTGGGTTGTTTAAAAGTGGAAATGATCTCCAGGTCTCCACTGAAAAACAGAACTTGCAATGTTTCACATTTCATAAACTCCTGAATTGTGCTCACATTATTCTATTTTAGTCTGCAAGTGGTGAAGAGACAAAAAGAAAATCTGCATCAATCATTTATTGTCATTTTCTGTTAGTCACAAAGTACATTTGCACATTTTTTTTTTATTATTATTAGTTTGAAGTTTTAACTGAAGTATTCAAAGTACATTTTATGTGTCTACTGATCATTTGCTTTACTGTATTTAAGTCTATTTAAATTACGTGTTTGAAAATTGTTTGTTAAATTAAAGTTCTTTCTATTGAATTTAAATAGCTTAATGTTTCTGTCTTTGTGCAGAGAGAACCAGTGCACACAGCCGAACAAATAAATCAGCCAAAAGGACGTAAACGGATAAATAATTTTAGTATTCAAATGTTTTATTTTTCCAGCACTAGGGGGCACCATGTACATATAAGACTGTCTGCTCCTGAGGATAAAACTTTTAGATTGATCCTCTTAACTCGTTCATTTCACCATTTTCTGATTCGTTTAACAAACCTAACCAGCTCCAACACTGCTTTTAGTTAAATTGTAATATAATAACTAGCTTTCATACAGAAACATTTGATAAAAATACGTTTTCATTCCTCTCACTCAGAAATATTTCCTATTTACAAAACCTGATTCTGGTTCTGACGTAAATGTGATTAAGCAGACTGAGGGGGGGGTTTCTCCAGTAATAACCCGGCGGATCATGTCGAGGAGAAGAAGCACATTCATGACGTCTTTGAACGCAGCACCGGTTTGTGAGGCGACGCTGACCCTGATCTCTCCCACTGAGTCAGCACTCGTCTGGGAACAGTGATGCCTGTAAGTCCTGATTACTGCGGCCCGGCGGTGCTGCAGCTCCACACCGGCAGCCACTCGGTTATGATTTGATCTGGGTTATCGCGGCAGATTACTAAAGAGGCGTTTCACTGATCGTATACCTGATGACTCTGACGCCATGGAAAAGTCTCAAGACAGATTACTGTCGGTGCCAAGGCTGCAAGATGTCACTTTGCATCATGGCAGCGGGTGGTAGTTTCCCAACATGAAGCTGCATCCAGTGTTAAAGCACGCTTTAAAAGAAAAAACAAAAAGACTTTAATTTCACCTCATTTTTTTTCTCCCTTTCTTCTTGCCTTAAGTTCACGTTGAAGCTGACTTTTTACAGTTTAGTTTAAGTATTTGTATGAGCGATGCTGGTACCATCAAAACTTTTACCTGTGTTCAGGAGTTGTCATTAGAAAGTGCCAACAAGTGTCAGTATAACTACCAATTATGTTGACTTGGTTTTACACTGGCTTGGGATTTGGTCTGAACTGGTTTTGGACATAGTTTAAGTCTGGCTCTTTATTTAGTTGTGGACAGATTTTAGACGAGTTTGGAATTTGGTTTCAGAAAGGTTTGGTGATTGGTTTCAAAATTGGTTTTGGATTTGGCTTTTGAGTTGTTCTAGACTTCATTTTAGACTTGGTTTTCATCTTTTTAAAACGTGTTTTTAGATAGTTTTACTTAGTTTTGGCCTGGTTTCACACTCGTTTTGGACCGATTTTAGACTGGTTTTTAAATGAGCTTTTTGACATTTTTTAACTTAGTTCTGGCCTATTTTCACACTGGTTTTAGACTTAGTTTTAGACTGATTTTTACTTAGTCTGAGCAGGTTCCCAAGGTTTTTGACTTAAGACAAGTTTTATATGTGTTTCAGACTGCTATTTTCCATCGTTCTGGCCTGGTTTCACTCTTTTTTTTTTTTTTTACCCTGGCTTGGGACTTGATTTTGACTTGTTTGACATGACAGATCGACTGAACAGTTCTATCTGTATTTTAGGATAATTTTTCATGTTAAAAAAAACTTTTGTAAACTACTGCTAAAAATGAAAAACTTGCTATATTGTGCAACATCTCCCTCTTTTGTGAAATGTGGTGGCGTAGAAGTAGAAATGTGTCCTGAAGCGATCAAGAGTCTCCAACTTATGAGACGCTGATCGTAGTGAAGAACAATGGAGGCGTGACACAAGTGACAAATCTGATCTAAAAAGTTTGATAAGAAAAGTTTCTCAACTTTTAAACGTCAGTGTGTGGACTTTAAACTACTTCCAGTGTTTTTGTTGGCAATCAGTAAAAACCAAGACTCTGTGTGGTTGCCCTTAAAAAAAATACATGACAGTGATTTAGTTTCTCAATATCTCACAGATTTTTCTCCTCTTTAAGTTTTTCACTGCTAATCTGCACTGCAGAGTTCATCAAACAGAAAAATCAGATCAATCATGATCGTTGTTTACATACATAGAAGAAATTTTTCAACACAGCCTCTTTTAAAGCTTAAACCTGAACTTTTTTTTTTTAAACCCTCAATTTAAAAAAGGATTTAAAAAAAATGATATTAATAACTACATTTCCTCTCTTTCCTTTCTTAAATGTTCTTCTTTGCACTCATGAACAAGGGCTACAACCAAAGACGATTTCAACTGTTGATTAATCTGTGGATTATTATTTTGAATAATCATTTTTGGTAAAGGGGCTGCAGGGTGCTGCAGTTGGTAGCACTGTTGCCTCGCAGCACTCATGTCCCGGTGGGGGCACCGGGATCTTTCTGCGTGGAGTCTCCATGTTCTCCCCGTGCAG